AAAATCATAATTTGTGTTCTACTGAAGAAACAAAGTCACCTACATCTTGGATGCCCTGGGGGTAAGCAGATAAACATCAAATTTTCATTTTTGGGTGAACTATCCCTTTAAGATTCAGCATCTAGGCAGGGAAAACAGGCTTTACAACAGTATGAAAGGGCGAGTTCCATCAAAAGCTCGGTCATTTCACTGGTATTCACCCTATGTAATGATACAAACTTGAAAAACCATGTTTAAAGGGATAGTTCACACAAAAATAGAAGTTGTCATTTTTTACCCACACTGTTGTCATTCTACACACACACACACACACATACATATATATACATATATATATATATATATATATAGTGTTCCATATTCCATAACATTCTTACAAATGCACCAAAATCCTTTCATGTTGCACAGAAAAGTAGCAGCATGAAGTGAATTGTGACCATTTTAATTTATGGGTGAACCTTTCAGTAAGTTTATTTGGGCAATCTGACAATTCTATTCATCTAAAGGAGAAATCTGGGATGAGCAGAGCACTGCAAAGATAATTTTGCTGCTAATGCGTAATTATCGTGTTTGGCTGAAACAAACAGTTCCTTCCACACTAACTGCTCTGTGCAGCCCATTTGATAGATGAGAGTCTAGCTGCAATGACACTATCAAAAGAGGCAGAACAGCCCTTGAAATGACTGAAAAGTAGCCCTGATATTGTATCTCTTGTGAAACCAAGAGTAAATTCTGGAATGGGTTACATAACCGTTTTAATACTCAGATAAAAATATTTATTTTCTAAAGAAGAGCGACTAAGAAATGGGTCAAAAGGAGTACACCGAGACAAACCCTCTTCGTCCCGCCCTTCTTCGTTACTATTTGCGGACAGCATTTGATTGACACACAGTTCCGCCAATCACGAACACAGATATGGGGCGTTGAGCCTCATCTCAATTTAATCGTATCCTTTTTAATGTCATCCTTAATTAAACGATGTATACGTGTTAATTTATGTCTTGCAAGTAAACTAGCCACGAATATATAGATAATGTTGTTGAATTCGATGTAAATATCAAACAGTCGTATTGGACACATCAAGTTTAAGTACACACTCGCCTTTCTGTGCGTAACTGATGCTCGCTTAAACGTATTGCGGGTGATTTGCGATCTCATCCAGCGTGTTACTCACCTATAAGTTGACCCACGGGTGTAGAAAACGGGTTTCCTATGAAAAACTCCATCATCCGAGCGTCTCTGCTGCTCAGTGTTTCGGCTTCGGGCCGATCAGCTGGAGAGAGCTCAAACAAACTTAACTGATTACATCATCTCTTAAAGTGACAGTAGCACTTTTCTAAGTATACACTGTATGCTGCATACTATTTTCATTAGTATGTCAAATAGGATGCATTACGTAACAACATAAGTTTAAAAACAATAGTATGCTATTACAGTCTTGTCTTATGACCAGCAGTGATAAGCATAGTTCTGCAATGTTTAATTCAACAAGTGTCAAGTTAATATCTATCTTAAATTAGAATTCAAGAAGCTAATTTTGTGTCGTTTTAATCAAATTAAAAGTAAATAATGTATCAAGGACAGAGATTTAAAAATAGCTGCTGATACTCACCCATCACAAGGAAACTGAAGGATGTGTGCAAACACATTGCATTGTGGGATACAGTATTCCATGCATTCAACTCTATATATGTATAATAATGTGCAACAGAAAATTCACGTTATACACAGTATACATACTACATACTGAAATCATGCTGGTTGCGTACTGTATTCTTGTTGTTTAGAAACAGAGCAAAAATGTCTTATTAGCATGGAGTTATGCATAAATGACTGTATAAGGTGTGGTGCTGTGAAATGCAGGCCCTGCCCTAGTGTGTTGCCCACATGATTTGATTTGAGAGTTCATAACAAAAGCAGTCTGGTGATCGTTCAGGGCGTGCGTGTGTGCTCTCACAGAAAACATCTGAATCCTTGGTGTACGAGATGCATTTTTTTGTCTTGTAAAGACTAGAATCAAATGATTTATATTGTAAAAATTGTCATGGGAGGTCAAGCTAATTTTGATGCATGTCAGACTTTATCTGAAATACTGCCTGCAGTAATATTAGTCTTTTTTTCTCTAAAGGTCAACCGCTTTAGCTGCAAGCCTCAAAACCATAACCTATCAGGCCTTCCAGTTTCAGATAACAAGGAGAGATTTAGCTGGTATACACTGCTGAGATAATCTTATAATAATCATAATATTTCATCTTTTGTGAGAAAGCTGTCTATTCTGAAATACGTTTAAGAACTATGGCTAAATGTTTGTAAGGGATAAGAGTTTTTCAATATTTAACAGAGTGTGATAATATTTAAAAATAAAATAATAAATGAAAAATGTATTCACAAGAATTCATATATATATATATATTTCTGTGATTTGATGAACTTTCGTGATAAACCACATGGTGGCGAATGTAGTTTATCTATGTGATTGATAGTCAGAACTTCAGTAAGACACCATGCAGAACAACACCTGTGGTACTGACATGAAATACTGCAGTTGTAAAGGTCAGAAATCCACATTACACAACAGAGAGATACTATATTTAAATGGCAGATTCTTCATTATTTTGTCATTTTCATTTCATGGTCTTAATTTGTCCTAGAATACATGTAATTTCAGATCATTCTAATTATAGACAAGAAAATGACAGCTGAACAGCATTATAATTTTTTTTTGTTTTTTTTTTGGCATAGGTCTGACTGTTGATTAACATACCTGGGAAAATTTCAAAGCTTTTCACAGTTCTTCATTAGAGGCAGAACTCATAAGAACATCCTCCTGTAATGAACTTTGCCATGAATGAGTCAGATATGACTCACGGCACATTTGTGTGTGATGCAGATCAACAGAGGAAAAAGGTTGAAAGCCAAAAAAAACGAAATAAATCAAACTGAATCAAAAGTGTGTAAAGACTTAAACATTGTAATAAAAGCCTTTCTATTTCAAATAAATGCTGCTCTTTTGAATGATCATTTCTTTTCTTTTTCAAGTGGCACCACTGTTTTTAACATTAATAATAACAATAAATGTTTTTTGAGCATCAAATCAGCATATCAGAATGATTTCTGAAGGATCATGTGACACTGAAGACTGGAGTGACGGATGCTGCTGGAAATTCAGCTTTGCATCACATTAATAAATTACATTTTAAAATATAGTCAAATAGAAAACAGTTATTTTAAAGTGTAATATTTCACAATATCACTGTTTTAATCTATTGTTGATCCAGTAAATGGTGAGACTTTATTCAAAAACATTTATTTAAAAAATCACACCGACCCCAAACTTTCGAATGGTAGTGTATATCTTCAAACAGACAGTTTACGAGCTCTAAAGAACAAAATCCTTCCTGAGTCCATAGTCAATATAACCCATGCCAATTAAGAGATCTTTATTATGAGTTTAATAATCTTGACAGCAGAGGTAAACATCACACTGCCCGCAGCTAGAGGGAAATGAGCTGGATTTCCCTACAGCTGTGGACAGTGTTCAGCCAATCAACAGAAATGTCACATGACACTAGATCCTCTGTGAGAGCTTGATGAAGAAAAATCAGCCATGTAAACGGAACCCTGATTATATTGTGCAGAGCGAGAGTCTGCTCATTCAAAATAGCAGCAGATTTTATATTTATATTGCCTGTAATTTCTCGGTTCCTTCCTGCCTGCTGTAATAAGGAACCTGTCAATAAAGCCACACATGCAGTGACCTGGGTTTATTAAATAAGAGCAATGCTAGTGCTCAGAATGAGGTTTGTTGGGACTTTTGTTGTGGTATGAAGACTTTACTAATGTGAGATCAACACGAAATCACTCTTTCCACAAAAACCTGTTGAACAAATGGTCAGTGAACGTTTATCTTCAAACTTAAGATGTTGAACTACATATTATGAGATGTTTTCTTTTCTATTTGTTTTATTTGCAACCTTGATTATCATGGTTTTGTTATTTATAATGTTACGAGTCTGTAGTATATTTAGCTGTCCACTAAAAGACAATGAAGCACTGGTTCATCCATCAGAATTCTTTTATATTCATTAGTGGAAAAATATCATTTAGAGGCATGAAAATAACAATAGAAGCATGGGCACAAATAAGCAGCATAATACATGTCAAGTATATGTCTGTGTGCATTATATTTCAATATTTTGTTGCTGCACATATTAATACACATTTCTCACCAGTTTCACAATTTGGATTCTTTTTTATTTTATTTTTTAGATTAAATACTATTTCATTATTTGCATAAACACTTTAGTCAAAACAATGCATCACAAATACACTATCATTCAGATGTTTGGGGTCGGTAGATTATTTAATGTTTTTGAAAGAAGACTCTTATGCTCACCAAAGCTGCGTAATTTATGAAATATCATTATAGTTTAAAATAACCATTTCCCATTTGAATATATTTTTAAATTGTAATTTATTCCTGTGATGCAAAACTATTTTCAGCATCATTACTCCAGTCTTCAGTGTCACATGATCCTTCAGAAATCATTCTGATATGCTGATCTGATGCTCAATAAATATTTGTTATTATTATCAATGTCGAAAACAGTTTTTGCTACATAGTGTTTTTACAGAAACTGAAATTGCTTTGAAATATCTTGTAACACTGTAAATATTTTTGTCACTTTTGATACATTTATTGTATCTTGCTAAATAAATTAAGTTTTTTTTTGACCCCAGACTTTTGAACAGTAGTGTATACAATTTGTAGATACAAATAAAGGTACATACAAATGATATGTTATTAATACTCATCCAGACCTGTATGAATTTCTTGTTTCTGTGAACCACAAAGGTATTTTGAAGAATGCTGGCAACCTTATAATTTTGGTTCACACTGACTTCCACAGCATTAAAAAATACAATGGAAGCAATGGGGAACAGAAACTGTTTGGTTACCAACATTCTTCGAAATATCTTTTTGTGTTCAGCAGAATAAAGAAACACACACAGGTTTGGATCAACATTATGGGTGAGTAAATGATAACAGATGTTTCACTTTTGGGTGGACTATGCCTTTAAGGCTACACCGTACCATCTAATCACATTGCTAATTCTGGATGTCTCCTCGATTAGGTTAATGCAATAATTCTGCTTAATATGAACATGAGTTTGGTGCTCATGCACTGCCGTCTGTTCTGAAATGTAATGTGAAAGAGTGCTTGAAAATATTGTGCTGAATCACTGATCTGAGGGCTGGTTTACTCATCGCTGAACGCTATCCTGTTTTACATTCACGTACAGTATCTACATGATGGAGCAGGTGAAGCCGCAGCACTCTTTCAGCAGGGTGACACCTGTCTTGGTCACGTAAGGAGACGAGGTCTGCTGGGCTCTGGACGTCATTCTCTTGTCCTTGTTGTGTCCTAAAAGAGAGCGAGCGAGAGAAAGACAGTAGGGCTGCACGATTATGACAAAAATCATAATTGTCGATTATTCCCTTGAAATTGTAATTGCGATTATTAATTACGGTTATCACAATTTACATTGAATGATGTTTATACCATTGTTTGATGCAACTGCATGCCGTATTTTTATATGAAAATAAACAAGCTGAAAACACTCTAACTGAAAAACCTTTAGTGCTATAGTATTAAGCCTTAAATGTCAAATATACATCGGATTGGGTTCTTCTTTAAATTATAAAAAAAAGTAAAAATATGAATGGTATTATAATGTTATACTAAAACTAAAAGATAACATGTAGAAAGAAAAAAACATATCTTAAGCGTGCAGAATAACATACTGTAAGTGGACTTTGAACGATTAATTGCCGCTTTGAACGATTATGTAATTGTGGCATCCATAATTGTAATCACGATCAGAAATTTTATTAATTGTGCAGCCCTAAAAGGCAGTGACCTTCTCTGAATCACTCTCAAGCATCTCTGAACACTATCGAGCATCAGAGCTGAGGTATATTCATACCAGTACATTTGCAAATATATTGGGTTGAAATTTATTTAGAAAGCATTCCGTTGCCAATTAGATGAGTTGAAATTATCTGAGCACTGTATACAAAAAAAATAGTTTTCAAAGTTGTAAATAGAACAAAGATTACTGGAGTAAATTTGACAAGAAAATACTATTTCAGTCTTTCTACTTCAAAATGTCATGTTTAATTCAGTTACTTGCCGTTTCTTTGTAATTAATTGTGAAATTTACTAACTAAAATTTTTTGTGTGAAAATTGTTTCAACAATATCTTTTAAAATATAAACATTTCAATCATGACAACTCTCTGAACATTTTAGCATGGTGATGGATATGACAATGTTAATGTATTTGGTCTCGCTGCTGCTGAATTGCTGCTGCTGTTGGTTATTGTTGTAGTTGTAGATTATTGCTGCTGCTGCAAGCAAGTACAGGAACTTGTTACTGCCAATGCATACAGCGATACAGTGCTGTGAGTATTTAAGACATGCTGCTGCACAAATAGCATATAAAATAACCCATAGCAGATCTATACAGGTGGAGCTGGGGAAGGTGAAGGGTTTCAGATAACTCTGAAAGCACACTGCACGAGTCTCAAGTGAATTCTAGCCAGCTATATAAATGCAAGGCAGTAAGCTCATTGGCTGCATATGCAGCATGAACCAATCAGCTTGTGCCAAGTCGTTTAACTCTCTGAATATCATCAGTTACGTTAACACCCCGTCAGAATGCGCCATCTAGAGTTTCATGACTGAACTATATATTTTTAAAAATATAAACAGTACACTCATGTGAAACATTAGCAAGACTATATTGTTACCCAGCTCTTTATATAAAATTGGATATTTATCCACATAAATACAATATACTTGCATAGGGCGATATATGATATATAGTTATATAATATAACTGCTATTATAACAACAAATCTGCCAAAATGTGATTATAAGGCATGAAGATTTTAAGATATTACAAACATTAACATCATGATTTTCTGTAAATCTGCTTTGAAAAAAAAGTGTTGTGGAAAAAAGCACTGTATAAATCAATCTGACTTGAATCTCACTGAACTGAACTGTGGAATAGAGTTGGGCTGAGTTCAGATGAAATAAAATACAATGTTTACTTTGAGTGAAAAGCTCAGTTCGTAAGCTTTTAAAAAGCAGCACTAAAGATTCTGAAATATTTGTATATTTTTGTGAGACGTTTCAAACTCTATCCACAACACTGATTAGTATTTGATTGAGTTCTCTCTAATTTACAGTCAAGCCATTCCCACTTTCAGGGACATTCGTGTACTTCTGCAATATTTATTCCGGTTCTGAACTACCTCATTAGTTTTGAACTAAAAGAAAACAAATGAAGACAGCTTTTTAACAGCCCAAGAACGGAATTAACATTCCGCTTCTAACAATAAGCAGATTCCTTATTAATTTATCTAGTTTGCATTTTCATTAAACTTGAGCAGGCAGTGAGTAAAACAATTATGGAGATGCTCAAAGAATGTATTATTATGTTAATTTGTGCATTCAAAGCTGAAAAACGGAGGTTTAAGAGCTTGGCCTTGAGCTCACAGCAACACAGAAACACACACATACTTTTCATGCTGCACCTGTTGGGAATTTTGGTCTGTAGGAAGTCAGTCATCTCTTTGTCCTCCTCTCGCTCTCTGAGTGGAGAATAACAGGCGTCAGGAAGGCAAATGCACAAACGCATGCATAAGTCAAGATACATTTTCATGTGCACATGCCATTCAGAAGTTTGGGGTCTGTATGATTCTTTAATGCTTTTGACTGTATTTTTCATTTGCAAACTTGTTGAGCACAAGAGACTATAAACACACACACACACACACACACACACATATATATATATATATATATATATATATATATATATATATATATGTTTCTGAAGTAACAAATAAATATATAATGTTTTTGAAGTAACAAATGTTTTTGAAGTCTCTTGTGCTCAAAAAGGTATAATTTATTTGATGAAAAATACAGTAAAACATTAATATTGTGTAGTCTGTGTGTTTTGGGGAAAAAAGTCTTACCAAGGCTGCATTTACTTGATCAACAATAGAGTAAAACAGTAATATTGTGAAATATTATTACAATTTAAAAGAACTGTTTTGTATTTAAATATATGTTCAAATGTAATTTATTCCTGTGATGTAAAGCTGAATTTTCAGCATCATTACTCCAGTCTTCAGTGTCACATGATCCACATGAGAAATCATTCTAATATGCTGATTTGCTGCTTAAGAAACATTTATTAATATGATCAATGTTGAAAACAGTTGTACTGCTTATTATTTTTATGGAAACCGTGATGCATTTTTTCCCCCAGGATTTTTTGATGAGTCGATTTAAAAAAAAAAAATAGAAATCTTTTATAACATTATAAATGTCTTTGACATTTTTGATCAATTTAATGCATCCTTGCTAAATAAAAGTATTAATTTCTTAAAAATCTTACCCCAAACTTTTAAATTGGCACACAAATACCAAGGTTTGTTAATGGAATGCACCTGTGCCTTTATAAAAGCACATGTCAGCATTTTTTGCCACTAATTATTCATATCCCATATATAAACTGTATACTGTATCAACTCACTAAAGCTATCATGCATCATTACAATATTATAAAAACACATCATTTGTGAATAAAACTGAATCTTACTCTGAATCTGTTCTAACTTTAATATATTTCAGACTTAAATGAAATAAATTAAAACTGATTTTTGAAGCTTTTTACACAAAATCATGGCAAATTATCCTAATTTTTAACCTAACAATCACACTAAGCTTTCTGCATTTATATATTTTCATTGCGATACTATTCTGCACGTTTATTAAGCCGCTGTTCTTGTTCAGTTATTGTTTGCTCCCCACAATGCCACAAAGTTTTAAAAAATGTTCAGTCCCTAAAATGTAAACCAAACTCACATGCAAACAACTGTGACGTGAGACACCGAGCATTAACCAAACATTCACACTCAAACTCCAAACAATCAATTATTCTCTTAGAACATCGGTTTAGTGTGCAAACCAAGAGTGTTTGACATCTCTCTGTTTTTCACTGTCTCTCTCTCTCTCTTCTCCACTATCCATCCGTGTAATAACTGCTTGTCATGTGGGTGACGGCGGCTCATTTATCCCATGAATAAACTGTGAGGATTTCATTCGTGTTGGGTACTACTGATGCGTGTGTCACTCACGATCACACACACACACACACACACACACACACACACACACACACACACACAGTCGTGAGGTCTTGGCAGATGGCAATCAACCCAACCCACTGAAAAAAATACATCTCTTTTCTTTTTTTCCATTTCTTTCTTGCAAATCAATCTCTCTGGTCTCTCAGAATCAGAGCCGCTGGGACCATCTGTGAGTGTGATGTGAGGTGTGTGTGTGTGACGGCCGTGGTGAGGTAAGGGTGGATTATTGGCTTCAAGTGGAGAGTAATTGGATTGCAGTATCTTCACAGATGAGGGAACAGCCACAAGAGGCACAAAACACATTCTTGGGGCCGATAGTCACGCATGCTAGCCGGCAATCTAAAGGGTTGTGGCCCATGTTCCTGTCGCTGAAAGCCGGCGGCTCTTTAAAACTGACCTGAGCCTCTCAAACTCCATGTCGTCCACTAGAAAGTCCCGCGTCTCCACCAGCTTCTGGATCTGCTGAAGTAGTTCTTCCTCATGCTGTCTGTCCTCATTTGACTTGTCTTTGTCTGCAAAGGACATTTGAGCAAACGTGGAAGTAAAGGCAATTATAATGTTACAAAAAGATACCCATTTCAAAGAAATGCTGTTCTTTTGAACTTTCTATTAATCAGAGAATCCCGAAAGATTAAAATGCTTCTCAGTAGCCACAAAAATATTAAAGGGGTCCTATTATGCTTTTTCACTTTTTCAACTTTAGTTAGTCTGTAATGTTGCTGTTAGAGCATAAAAAAGATCTGCAAAGTTACAAAGCTCAAAGTCCACTTCAAAAGGAGATATTTTATTTAAAGCAGCACTATGTAAGTTTTTCTGTGTTCAAAATTTGCAAAATGTATATAATGAGCGAGTACATCATGAATTCATTTTCCAAACCGCGTTTTTGTCTTATTTCCGAATCACTACGGTACACTTATAATAAGTACTTATATATGGACTACTGTAGCCTGGTCGGGTCGTCACCGCTGCGGAGTAACACATACAGTACCTGCGTGAATCGCCATAGACATAAACTTAAGAGAAGTAGCTCCGGTTGGAATGTTCTTCCGTGGGATGTGTGCAGTTCTGTTTATTAACCGCTAGAGCGCCAAAAATTACATAGTGCTGCTTTAACAGAAATCACTTTTCAAAAACTACAACGAACGACTCGTTTGGACTACAATGCATATTTTCCGGGATTTGTGATATCACAAATATCGACGAATGAGACGAGACCTGGTTGAGCTGCACTAGAGAAGGCTATGAGTGTTATCACTATGTCGGAGACACGCTAGCTTTCCCAAGGCAGACGAACTTAGAGTGGTTACAATCATCCGGGTATTCGCACTATAAATCGCACTCAAATTGATTTGATTTTGACGCAATATTTACACTGAAGCTCGCAGGCGGCTATGGTAAGGGGCATGATATTTCCTGAGCAGGCGCCGAGTGCTGCCAATCACAACACACACTGGCCCAGTTAACCAATCACAGCACACACTGGCCCAGCTAACCAATCACAACACACACTGGCCCAGCTAACCAATCACAACACACACTGGCCCAACACGGGCCCAGCTAACCAATCACAGCACATTGCGTATTTCAGAAGGAGGGCCTTCATTTGATACAGGAACTCTTCGAGCCGTTCATGCCAGACTGGGGAGAGAGGTGTTGTAGTAATGTAAAATATGTGGAAAAATAATGTTTTTCGAACAACCTAGTATAAGTTCTAGTACACCTCCAAAACAAAATCAAGGCTTTGTAAAAGAGCATAATAGGACCCCTTTAAGCAGCACAACTGTTTTGAATAGCTTTTCAGCATCAATGTATGCTACACATTATTTCTGAAGATGTAACAAACAAATTACTGGAGATATTTTAGTCTTTCTAGTTCAAAACATCATGTTTAATTCAATGTGTTTTTGTAATTCTTTGTCAAATTTAGAATCAGTTTCTAAGTGAAAATTGTTCCTTAGCTTTTTTTTAAAGCAAACCCTACACCATTTTTTCCATTGTATTTTTTATATTGAAAATGTTAACAGAATGTTAAGTTATCAGGTCTGTAATAATGTTCTCAAAACATTAGCACATTATTTACACATCGTTCATGGTTCATTTTTCTGAAACACTTTAGCAGTTTTTTTAAAAGTTACTAATTGTTACAGAATGTTCAGAAAACAGTAACGATCCCATAATGTTCGCAAAATAATAAAATGGAAAGTTATTTTAACATTCGGATAACCAAGAAAAAACATTTTTAAACATTAAAAAAAATGGACTCTTTGAACATTCAGAAATAATGTTTTCATAACTTAATAGGAATGTTAGCAAAATGTTCATTTTGTTAGCCGGGTAAGTGTGAATACCACGACTTTATCCCTGTTCAGCAATGAAATAACAGATAATATGTTTAGCTAGAGATAGTATTTACATTCCTGTCATACACACACAAATAACAACGCAGACACATATATTTGCAGTTTGTGTTCAGCTCCGGCAGACACATATTACTGCCATAATAGACAAATCTCACTTGCAGGGCTTCTGACAGACTCCCATCAGACACTATTGTTGTAAATAAATGCACTGAATCCCTTTATCAATAAATGTCCTCAACAATTTCCCCTGCTTTTATCGCATCTAGGCCTGTATCTCCCGCTCTGATGTTGGCTACACATAATTTGTGTTCAAAGTGTTATTGAATAAAAAACAAGGAATGACAGTCAATGTGACACTCTCTCTGATTATTTTTTAAAGGCATATCTCATCCAAAAATGAACATTTTGCAGAATACCCATGCTGTTTTTTTTCCCATATAATGAGTGTGAATAATACACCTTAATAGCAAGAATATTGTTCATTTTATTTTCATGTCCCAGGCTTATCCCTTCAGTTCTAAGTCTAAGAAAATACCTGGTTAAAATGGTAACTGTTGACAGAACATGAGTCATTTGCCCCATAATTACCTGATGATATTCAGATATTCAATAAAATCAATGTTGTAGATAATAACACTGAACTCAGGCATGTGGTATAGCATGGTATATGGTATTTTTTATTGGTTCATGTCAGCTTACACTGCATTATGTGATCTTATGCATTCCTAACTGCATTGCATCATGGGACATTTACTTAAATTGTCTGTTGATGTCTAATTGTGAGGAAGCGTTATTATGGAGTATGGACTTGTGTTTTGGCCAGAAGCAATAATTTAAATTTAAAACACCTAAATAAAAGACTTGTTTCTTACAAACACTGAGTTTTTTACATAAAAAAAAATAGAGATGATGCTCCCACGATTCTTATATATATATATATATATATATATATATATATATATTTCCTGTAACTATCAATCATTAGAAATGTTTAAGGTTTTATTATAAAATAATCACATTATTCTGATAAAAAAAATCTGTGACAGTAATTTCTTAATTTTTGTCAGGAAATCTTATGCAACCACTGAGAGAAAAAAAATTGTGAGAACACACCATGTAATGTAAAGTCTATTTCATTAGCGCCCGCGCGCATAAACTCCACAAGTGCATCACAGAAGTAATAGAACTTATGACGTTTCAGGAAATCCCTTATGGACAAAGGCATCCAGCTATCGCTGTAGCTGAATAAAATGCGAATAGAGACATCTTATCAAATGAAACATCAATACAATAAACATACGATTGCGACAATATATGGTTTATCTGTGTTCTTCAAGCCATCTCAGGTATTTTAATAATAAAGTATATTTATAATGCAGTGTTAATTGACTTTTATCACTGTATAGAATACTATAAAATAGCATGATTTCTGCCTCATTTTGTGATATGAAACCATGTCAGATCAAAAAGGAAGTTATTTCAAACACTCGACTGATGTTACTGTATCGTTAAACTGTACGTACTAAATTTATTCATAGCACAGACTGATTTTTTAGTCTATGTTGCACTGTGCATCCCTGTAAGGTAAGAGACAGTGGTGCTTGTGGATTTTTGTGATGGTTTTATCAACTGTTTGGACTCTCATTCTGACGGCACCCATTCACTGCAGAGGATCCATTGGTGAGCAAGTGATATAATGCTAAATTTCTCCAAATCTGTTCCCATGAAGAAACAAACTCATCTACATCTTGGGTGGCCTGAAATTTCTGCAAATGTTCATGTTTGTGTGAACTATTCCTTTAACCTTGCATGTAAAAGAGTCATCTCAGGTCTTATCATAGTAAAAAAAAAACACAGTAAAACTCACATATATCTGAGCTCAGACTCTTTCCGAACCAGTGCATCCTTTATCCTCTCGATCTTGAACAGCTCTCCCTCGATGTCCTCCACAGTGATGGTGGAGTCAGCCATGGACACCACATCCTCTTCAGCTGAAGAACACATGAAGGCACGTTGACTTGAGAAGCACAATTACTTACGGTAAGATATTAAGTCTTGTTTTCTGAAAAACTGATCAAAATTAAGTGACTTAAAGGGGTCATATGATGCGATTTCAAGTTTTCCTTTCTCTTTGGAGTGTTACAAGCTCTTGGTGCATAAAGAAGATCTGTAAAGTTGCAAAGTCTCAAATCCAAAGAGATATTCTTTATAAAAGTTAAGAGTCAGCCACACCTACCTAAAACGGCTCGTTCTAACACGCCCCAACATGTCTACGTCACGATGTGGGAAGATTTGCATAACGCTGCCCAAATGTTCACGCAAAGAAAGAAGGCGTAACTTTTATTCTCGCTGTAGTTTTGTTGTTGCCGTCGCCACCATGTCGTGAAGGGGCTGTGTTTCGTTGTGAAAGCAAAACTACTTTGTTTGGCCTTCCAAAAGAGGACGATATCCGGCCGGCGGATTCGATGAAGGAGCGGCCGGCGGGCTTGCTGCAACCACATGTGACGAAATGACAGTTTTTGGACTATTGTGATGGTTTTATCAGCTGTTTGGACTCTCATTCTGACGGCACCCATTCACTGCAGAGGATCCATTGGTGAGCAAGTGATGTAATGCTAAATTTCTCCAAATCTGCTCTGATGAAGAAACAAACTCATTTACATCTTGGATGGCCTGAGGGTGAGTACATTTTCATTTTTGGGTGAACTACTCCTTTAAGTAAACAGCAAGATAAAACAAGGTTCCACCAATATTTTATTTGTGGATTAAACGAAGCGTTTGAGAGAGGCGGGGCATAGAGGACTAATAAAAATAATGTGTTTTTTGAACATTAAAAGCATGTCAACATATTCTGTTACACCAAATACACAAAATAATGATCTTTAAAAAAGCATCATATGACCCCTTTAATATTTCCTTTGTCACAGCCATGATATGCCAATACCATCTTCCAATTTCTGGAAAGGAAATTATTTAAAATATTTAGATAATTTTATTCTCCTGAAGCAGGTTCCATTAGCATCTAGCATCAACAGAAACAATAAAATGGCTACTACATGAACTCCATTGGTTTTGTGAATGAAATGGCAAATTTGTCAACACCGTCAGATGTCACCACCATAAGATTTTGTGTTCCAATGATATATCAAAATACTTAAATGTGAC